TGCTGTCCTGCAGGCAGTGTTGGGAAAGTTCTCTTTCTACGTGAACTAGTTCAAAGTTCAGTTCACACATTTTAAAATGAACTAGTTCAGTTCATAGTTCATAATTCAAAACCAAAAAATGAACTAGTTCATAGTTCTTTTTTTTTTTATATATTGCTAAATTATACCATAGCCTACTGTAGAACCACAGACAGCAATTATTTTATCAGTTGTAACTCTGAAACTGTGCGTCAGATTTCATCTTCATATCCAGTTTTGAATCCTTATCCAACCAGGGTTTACATTAGCATTGAGGGGACAGCATTTCCCCATTGTTGCTTTAATGCTTTGTTGCTGTCCATTCACTTCACACTAGTAGCAGCTGCAGCTTTCACCCCTACAGTATATTCTCAAAAACATCAGGAAAAATGTGCTGCTTGAATGGTCTTTTTTATGAGTAATTATTAAAAGAAAAACAGGAAAGTAGTCTTTAAGGTGCAAATGTTTTTTTTTATTTTAATAATTTTTTCCATTTGAAATTCCATTTCAATACATACTAAAAAGGAATCCTGGAAAATTATACCAGGCAGGTTTAACAAACAAGTTACATGGATAGTAAAACCCTCAAGAACAGGGGTCTTCTATGTTTTCCAGACCAAGGACCCCCAAACTGATGGCGAGATGGAGCGGGGACCCCCTAACTATATATATTGTATGAAATTGTGTCCTATAGTCACTCTATTACAGATGGAGTAATGTAAAGAAATTAATTTCTCCCTGGGATTATTAAAGTTTTTCTGATTCTGATTCCTGGTTGTTGTGAAGGAAACGGTGCCCAGCTTGAAAGAGCTCCTGTGTGTCGCTGAATGTGTGCATTGATGACTGAAAGACATCTTTTGTCTCCATTTATCTGTTTACTACAGTGTGTTGATTTCATGTTAATGTGGATTTAAAGACATTTCAATTAGTGGGGGGAAAAATTGCAAGGGGGGAATATAAAAATATCAACTAACCATGCAGACCCTCATGCAGTACCTCCGTAGACCCCCTAGGGGTCGCGGATCCCCTGTTGAAGACCTCCGCTCAAGAACATTTTACTAACAAACTGAGGGACCAGACTGAGGTAGGAATTTAAGGTTACTGAAGTGCGGATTTTTTTACTGAAAGCCGGCGGGCCACCTGGTCATAAAACTGTTCTAAGTGATCATACTGCTGCTTTGTCGCCTCCACGGTCGCCTCCATGCTGCTATGGATTCCACCCCGCATTTTGTTTTGATGACGCACGCGGCTGTAGGCTACGACGCTGGTAGCTGGTGTTGCCAGATTGGGTGTTTTTCCTGCTACATATTAAGGCCTGTTTACGGTTTGATTTAGCCGGGGTTTCGCCTGGAGGACTCTATAGAAATCTGGCAACCTATTGAACGGAGCTGAACTGAGAGAGCGTGCCGTTCACAGACACCAGAATGAACGAGTTCGCAATAACGTTCATCAGGCAGTAATACAGTACGTTCAGTTCACGTTCGCCCAAAATATGAACGAGTTCATGAACTTTCGTTCAATGAACCCGTTCAGGCACAACACTGCCTGCAGGATTTAGAGGTTTCCCTGCTCCAATACAGCTGATTTTCATTGATATCTGACTAACAGGTTTTTTATGAACTGCATTTATGAAAATCAGCTATGCTAAAGCAGAGAAACCTCTAAAACCTGCAGGAAAGCGGCCCTTGAAGACAGACTTTGGGCATTTTTACTAATCAGCCTCACCTCGACTACCTGCTTATGTGCCATGTTAAAGCTCCAGCCAATCAACATCGGGAGCGCACCCACTCAGAGGACAATTGTCTTTCAAGATCCCATTCCTTTAGCTTCTGGCCCACCTTTCCTCCTGCACCCCAGCCGAACTGTAACCCACCTCTGCCCTAGCTCTGCCCTCACTTTCTGACTTTTCTCAGTACCACTTATCCTCTGGCTTATTCCACCACCAGTGTCCAGGCCACCAGGGAAAGACAACTCTAATCCTTTTCCTAAATTACTCATCCAGGCGAATGTCAATTAACAGCATCAAAGTCTTCTGCTGGTGTCTAAGCACTAAAGAACTTATTTCCTTCATGTCAATAAAACCTTTCTAATTGCATATTTTCTCTATGTGAGTCTCTCCAGGTTGAACTAATTCAAACACAGCTTCATCCTCTGAGTGTTTAAGTGGAATTTGATAGCATAACAATATTAATTCATTCAGCCTTAGTTCAGTTGAATACCAATTGAATACCAATTTTATTAAATACTATAAATTCTTTTATAGTACATATTTAGTTTAAACATATTTAGAGTGTTTTTGATCACTTTCTGTCACACTGATATTGCTTTTCCTTTCTCTTACGGCTCCTATCAGCAAATATGCAAATTGGGCAATGACAACATTTAGTGACATTTAGAAACTTTTCAACCAGCCAACAGGAATTTCTCTTGCTGAAAAGTTGGGCCAGTGCTTGGAAGCCATAGGAAGGTTCACTGGGTTAATGCCTTACCCTCAGGTGTATCATTGTGGCTGTCCAATTGAAATTTGGGTAAAACCAACTCAACACGTTACAGACTGCTTAGAAATACAGTGTAGGTATGTCTACAGTGATTTATGCCAACTGCTCATGAACACATAGCTGGATTTAGTGTGATGGCTAATTGCTTGGCTAATAAACAGGAGACACTGGTAACCTGTTAGTGGTTGTGACTACATTTTGTTAATAGTCTATAGGCCTATCTAATGGTGGCAGAATCAATATGCTTAACAAATATAATCAATCACCATAAGAAGACATCTAATCTAGACTGGAAGTGCATCCACAGTTGCCATAATAAGGCCGATAAATCCGAAAAGTGGCAGTTAGGAAGCTAGGACTAGGGCAACATATTCTCACTCCCAACTAGTTAACATGGGCTTGGTCAAACTCGCTGCTCGTCACATGCGCAGACTAGACTGTATTACATGCTTGACATTGAGTATCACTGTTCAGCTTGTATATATTTTATTTGAATGTGAAGGAGTTAAGGGGTAGATTAAGTTGAGGGGTGTCCACTGAAGGCCTAGGTACCAGATGCACCCTGTGCCACAGGTAATAATTGACGATAATCACCCATCATGTTTAAACAAAACCAAACAAAGCTTATGTGTAGTAGAAGAGGTACACAGTTTTGTTGGGGACAAGACTGGGGGAGGGTTCTCAGACATGAGAATAATATTTTTTCTCAATAATTTGCAATTGCAGTTTCTAAATGTTATTCATAATTAAGTACATGCTAGGCAATTTGTGTATAAAACTTGCCATTTTTAAGTAATGTAACAAAAAATTAAATATATACAATTTGGCATGTTTTAACGTTCTATTCACGCAGTCATTTACCATTTTACCCTCTATCTTTGTTTATGGAAAACTAGTTAAATGTTTTAGTAGTGTATATCAAAGCTTTTCAGTAGTATGTATGAAAGGTAAAGCTTTTCACCAGTTTATATGAACAGTTCTCACTACTTTTTACTTTTTATGTGCATGTTTTTCAGCATATTATATGGAAGAGTTTAATTTAATATGTGTATATGGAAGTTAATTCTGATTTATGTCCCTGGGGGCAACTCATAGTTGACTGTTCTATCTAAACATGAATAATTTCAGTTTTGAGTAAAATTTGTTCTCCATTTTATTATCAATTACTTTATTATATTTTATTATATATAATTTCTGCAATTATTTAATATTATTTTTTAATATTCATATTTTTTTTATATTATTTCAATAATTAAATTATCTGTGTGCCACTTAAGTATATTTTTTTCTGTGTGCTTTCCCATTTTTTTATGCATACCCTGTACCACTTTAAATTGTCTTGCTATTAAAATGTGCTACATATATAAAGTTGCCTCCCCTCAGACTTGAAACAGTTACCATTTATCCAAATGCCAAAATAAACAACGCCAAAGTCGGTGCGGGGGCTGCTGTCCTGCGGGTTTTAGAGGTATCCCTGCTCCAGCACCGCTGATTTTTATTGATAGCTGACTAACAGGCTTTTGCCGGGCTGCAATCATCAGAATCAGCAGTGCTAAAGCATGGAATCCTCTAAAAGCTGCAGGACAGCGGCCCTCAATAACCGACTTTGGGCATGCCTGATTTAAACCCTCGAGCCAGAAAAACACAGTCATACATTTGTTTTACTGTGATGCACCTTTATGATCCTTTTTTTTTTGGATCGCTTGAAAATTCCTTTGAAATATAGCTCTTAGTTTCACTTACAGATACAACAAACTGAAACAAAGGAAAGTGTATAAAAGCTAAGGCCTGCCGACCGATACAAAGGTAAATCTTCTCAGGGTTATTGGAGGCTGATTTGTTCCCCTTCCACTTCTAAAAAAGCACAGGCATCGACACTAATAGAGAACATTAATAATTCCCAGTAGAGATATTTATGTCTTTACACACCAGTCTTCAATAAATCATAAAGGTAGAGAAAATACAAATCAGCTATATTAATTATATAAGAATTAAACTCCCTTACTGCAATATATGTTTTACATCCTGCCTTGGTTTCAGAAAACTCCAGTAATTACAGGTGCACATGTTGGATCAAAGCCTACCGAATAATTGATATGGCTCATTAATGTTTTGAAACTGGGTTTTACTGTTACATACTGTACATGTTTGCAGCAAGGCAGAAGATAACTGATTAGTCAAACCTTGTCTGAGCATCATAAAAAGCACAGTACCATGCAAGATATCATCTAATTTCACTCTGGTTAATCCCAGAATAACTCTGCTAAGGCACATACTGAATTTTAAATAAAAAAAAGTTAAGATTTCTTATACTGTTAGACCACACCTTTGCAGTATAATCCTGCATAGTCACACTGCATTGTCATGTGTGGGCATAGATTAAACATTTACGGATAATCCACGTGCTGAAATTTCATACTGGCAGACATTTATTTTTTTCCGTAATAGGTAAAGAAAGGGAAGGAGAAAAAAAACCCAGCATACCTTTAGGTAGTCTCCATCTTGCAAAGAGAAGCTCTCAGCTTTCAGCCTGATTCCTTTGCCCTTTTCAGTAGTGATGCGGTAAATGCACTCATGGTTGTTATCATAACTGGAGGGGAAATTTGGAGAGAGTAGAACACCATCTGGTCCAAGCGTAGAAGCTCCACACTCAGCTGCAGGAGAGGAGAAAAGAAAAAAGCAGAAACTCAGGTAAACAAAAATCATAGCAACTCCATAGTTATCTCTCACTGTCCATATATCTGACTCAGACATGAAAAAAAGGTTATTGCACGGTCCATTTTTTTAATATAAAAAAAAATATTCATGCATTATTTTATGTATTAAAGCCATGAACTGATGAAGTGAAGTGTTTTTTTTTGTGATCAACTCATACTGATTCATAATTGTGAATGGAAAAATGTAACTAGCACAGTCTACTTACATTTTCATAAGAAATGCCAAAAAATCTGAAAGGCATATGTACTGTAATCACTTAGAGGAAATAGAGTCCACCTGTGCATCATTTATCCTTCGTAAGAATACAGCTGTTCTTTCAAGTCCTTAGAGGTTTGTTAGAGAAACAAACACAGCAGACAAATCAGGAATGAAGTTGAAGGGAAATTTAGAGCACAGCTGAAAGCTAACCAACACATGACAAGGCAGACTGCAAAGGCGAAAAATGAAAAGAGATACAGCCAAGAGTTCCATGTTATTCAAGGGGAGCTGCAAAGATCCACAGTTCAGGTGGAAAGATGATAGTTGTACATTCCACACATTTAGCTTTTATGGAAGAGTGTCAAAAAGCAAGGTAATGTTAAAAAAGCGACAAAAAGTTCCTTTTGAAATTCACATTAGCCATGTGGGGAGAAAATCTATTAATCACTGCAAAATATTTGGAATTGGGGGGGGGATTTTTAACAATGAACAAGACAACTACTCTTAACATACAGCAAGATCTACAATGGCATGTTGTGAAATGAATTATCATAGACGCACTGTATTTACAATCATTTTTAAGGGGATGAGTATCCTAGGAACAGGGCTTCTTTAAAGTCCTGAAAATATTTTGTTCAGAAAATACAATGATCAAAACAAGAAGCCCTGAAGATGATAAATGCAGTAATGTATGAAAGTAGGACAAGATTCATTAACAAGAAATAGAGAAATTATACAAAACTCTTTGCCAAGAGGCCTGTTTGTCAATGTTCACAAATTAAATAACTGGTTATTTATGAAAGAAAAATAAAATTTTAACCTATAAGGAATAAGGAAAAACACAAAATGATTAACAAGCTTTCTGTGGGCATTCGGAAAAAAACTACTAAAATTATGATATGAACAGCAACTAGGAGTGAAAGATGGGGAGAACATAATTTTCTCTTTATCAAATTTACACAAATTATATCTATTTCTATCAAACTTCTAAAAATGTTAAAATCAAAGCAAAATTTTTCTTTGGTATGGAATAGAGTTGATGCATAGTAAATTGAGCAGTTCTATCATGATTTAGTTTTAGAATTTAACCTAATAGAGTTCAGTAATTTAAAGATTGCAAGATGGGTTTTAAAAAAAAGTCTGTAAGAGGGGAAGAAACACTTGAGATGGCAAGAAAACAGAAAAATACCAGTTTTAAAGTCTAGGGAAATAAATTATAATGGGGATGCGGAAGTAACATAATATGCATATTTAGCATTTCCCATGAAAGGAAGAGATGTAGTTATTATCTTCCAAAGAAGTATCCAAATAAACACGAGGAGAAAAGAAAAAAAAACAGTGAAGTACAAGGAAAAAGGACAAGGGGAAAAATGAACAAAGTGTGTTTCCAGCTGTGGCTGGTTCCCTCATAGTAAAAACCTGATCTCTTCACAGATAACGCTATCATGGCATTTTTAGTCTGCTCTCACTGGGACTCGGAAATTCCCAGCAGCTTCAAGTCAGACTCTCATAAATTACCAGCAGCATCCGGAGAAATACTGATAGGCATCAAATTCCCACATATAACAACCTGCTAACAGAAAAATCTTGGCAAATAAAACTAACAGTCCAGCAGTCAGGTAACAGTAAATTACCTCTGTTCCAAATAAAACACTAGCAAATTTACAACCAAGCAAATGCTGATACTTTACTTCCAATCCATTCATGCAGTATAAAAGGCAATTTGAAACATTCATTTGAACCAAATAAGATGATGTAACTTCATTGCCTTAAAAACTGTGGACAAAATCATGTTTGATAATGAATTAAATGAATTTAGAAGATAAAAGAATGCATATGGAAATTGTCTCAATTTTTATTTAAAGTTTCCTCAATAAATCAATTTGTCTCATCTCACAATCATCTTACCTATACACCTTGGCAGTATGTTGCTCCACACTCTCCTGCCACCTCCAAGACAAGTGATCTTAGTGTCTCCCTCAAGCCTGTAGCCGTGGAAACAAGAGAATGCAAGCGAATCGCCAACTCCAAATCGAAATCCCATCCTCCTGCTGAATGCCGGCACACCAGGATCCTCACAGGGCTCCAAGTCGTACTCTGTACATTCAGGCGAGAAAGATAATATTACTGAGGAGTGAATGGAAAAGGGCTTTATCTATTTAGGAAACTAACTGAAGCAAGGATAAAACTGCATAAGTCTTTAGCTGATAGGCTGAAATGGTTGCCAGAAGCAGTAAAAAATAAAAAAAAATAAAACTTTTAACAGAGATGAGAATTTTTATTGAAATTTGGCATTTTGTTAAGATATAGCTAAATTCTTACTAAGCATCTCTTAGTAATGAAGCATTATATGTAAAAAACATGAACAAGTATTTTTCCATTTCACTAATGTGTCCTAAAAAAACGTTCACCAAACTAAGTAATTAGTAATTAGGGCAGAGGTATTTAACATTGGAGTTGTGAAGATACTGGATACCTTGCTCCCTACCTCCATCAATCTGAGGTCTTGGACCAATAACATTGAGGACCCCTGAATTAGTGGATTTATTATGCCACTTGAACAAATACAGAGATAAACATACTCCTGGTTGATTAGATTTAGAATAATATTTTATTTTATCATTCCAGCTGTTTACATTATTTTATTATCTGAAAGATACCAATAACGTTTGGCATCAGAAACAAACTGGTTAAAGTAAATCATTTTAAATCCATCAAGGCTATAACATTTTTTTTTTAAATGTATTTAGGTCAATGTAAAAAATAAATAAGACTACATGAAACCAAAAGAGATTTAGGTTAAGCAGTATATCCTTTCCAAATCATATTTACATCCTTATGCAGCATTCAAAAGCATTTTCAATGCATTCTGTGTAATATTCTTTTACTGCTTGTCTTACCTGAAAAAGTTATGTTGAATCCTTCGTAACTCATAGAAAAATCTGATATAAATCGCATCTGCACGCTGAAGTTTCCGTAGAGTCCAGCTTTAACACTAGGTGGAAGCACTGAGCCAGTGAGTCGAGCTACAGGAGCGTGGAAGTTGCCATCTTCAATGATGGACAGATAGTCATGATTCTCCTCTAGATGGAAAGTATGGAAAACCAGATGGACTCCTGTATGAATAGGTGGGAATTTGGGGAAAAAAATTGATAGATTGAAGAATGTAGAATTAGACATAGAGAAGCAAAACAGAAATAAACATTAAGCACAGCAGAAAAAATGGCTGGAGAAAAAGTAATCTTTTTACTCCACAACAACTTATGAACAGCTACATGCTCTCTAACAAGTCAGATAAGAACTAACCACAACAGTAAGATCCAAAGTACAGTCAGTGTTTTGGCTCTATATGTGCATAAGTGTTCTTACCTTTCCCATGAGACACCTCTATAGTCCAGGTGCAGTTTAACGAGTTAGGATAGAAATCAGGAAAGCCAGGAGAGAGAATTGTCCCAGTTTTACCAAAAACATATCCTCCACAAAGAGCTAAAGAAAAAATTGAGATAGACAGAAAAAAAAATCTATGTTAAACAACAATACTAAGTTTTCACTGTGAGCTGCAATAGCAAATCGTGAGATCTCAACAAGAGATCTCAGAAACACCTGTGCCTGTTTGAACCATATAAGAACAATATGCCTTCTGTCAGTTTGCACGGTTACCACAAAAGGATAAAATCCTTCCCTGTTAAAGAGTCTGTGACTGGTTAGATAAATAAAAAAATTAATAAATACAAACTCAGTTAACAAATTTTTAACATTTAGATCAAACTCGGATTCTTAGAAATATCTTTACCTATTGTTGACTTGGCTACTCAGACAAGATGTTTTGTCCCCTGCATGGGGGTTGAAATGATCAGGGGAAGGAATCAACTCTAACTCTGCATTGTCGGTTTTTGAAGGCTGAAACCTGAGTCCATCCCCGCTTTTTAAGGTTGCTTCCTTGTGAAGGACAAAACATCTCACCTCGGCAGCCAAGCCAACAATTGGCCCTCACGACCCACCTTTCAGAGACATAGCCCAGTATCGGGTATTACAGGCTAACAAAGAACCCAAAATGACTCCCCATTCCTAAGGGGCGGACCCGTTCTTCTGGTTCAATATGCATGTTTTCTAAGCCGAAACAAGTTTTTAGGCTACTATATAAAGCTTCAACCTGAAAGCTAATTCTGATATTTTTAACTGAAAAAGGTTCCTCAATGGGAAGCGAAACGTCTTCAAACTTGGAAACTTGTCTTTTTTTTACTGTTTTGGAATGGCTACGACCTGGATGACTGAGGATCTTCATCAGCACATAGCATGATATCAAATTAGACAAATTCGTAGTATGATATCAAATTAGATAAAGGGAATGTCAGGAAATATTATTGGACCTTTGGATAAAAATAAATTATTTTAAGCACTTGTTTTACTAAAGTGTTTTAATATGACAAACCTAAAGAGTATAGTCTTATGAAGCTTAATAAATGGAAAACATCATTTAAGATAATTTTCTTAATACCTGAGCAGTGATGAGGGTTTATAAAATATGCTATGGGCTACAGCATCAAGAATTATACTGCTGTGCTTTGGCACTTTTTTAACATCAACGGGTCTGCTCAGCTGAAGGTTATGCCTTCATTTATAGACTCCCCTGTTCATTAGTAAAATGAGCGGATTGTGTCCCATTTTTGCAAATCACTGCAGTTTTAAAAACTCCTCAAAGAGCTGAACCTTCCCACAGGTGCCCTTTATAACTTGACTGGAGGCCGAAGTTCTCCCAATGGAAATTCTTCCTCACAAGAGACTGAAAAACGGGAGTAAGGAGATTTCCATTCTGTGATTTTTAGTTTAATCTAGATTAAGCAGAATAAATATAGATCAGTTACACGTGTTTCTTTTATGAAAAGATCATGGCTATTTTCTGAACTTGACAGAAATACAGTATGTAGAATTAGACAAATAACCAGATCTCAAATGATAAAATATATTCAAACTAGTAGACCAGTAATTCCAGAAAATAAAATATTACCAGATTTTTTAAATTTCTGGCCATATGGAGGTTTTTTATTCCCTTCCCGCCTGTGGAAACAGATGTGCTTAGATCGTTGTTAACAGCCACTATAATTTTCCAACACTTTGACAAAGGATAAATTCTATATTTTTAATCACAAGAAAATTAATGTGTGAAGATAAAAAAAAAGGTCCTCCAATCACTTCTTTCAATATTTCTTTTTAAAACCTGCTATTTTAAAACTATGAATGATTTTCAAGCTAAGATGAATCTGGATTCAGGTATGCAGTTCTGTTTTCAATATTTTGGTTGACACTGGTTATAATACAGTACAATGTTTTTGTTTTTTCTTCTTTGAGATTAGCCAGGATATTATTTTAAACATTAGGGGAAGAATCCGGTTTTCTCTGTATATTGCCTTATATGATGGCTTTAAGACTGCTACTTTCTCCCTCTTTTTCCTGTGAAACTAAGGAGAGGAGACCACATTGTAGAGGGTCTCCTGAATGGATATTAATGCAAGTTCTTTTAAATTGCATCCTATTACATTATGTGTCAACAGAAGTTATATTGGGCTCCTCTTCCATAACCTAATCAATGTGGCATTGCATGGAGAAAACTACTAAGGTATTAAGGAACCCCCTGTTTGTTGTAGTCGTGGCAGTCAGCTCATTTTTATTGCTGGGCCTGTTGTCTCCCCTCTTCCTCTTGCCAATACTAAAAAGATTCTCAATGCCATGAGGTCATATGTTTAACAAGCAATCAAGCACAGTATTTGCATTTCCATTACAAATGTACGCAAAACTATGTTGATATTCTGCTAATTTGGAAAATGCTATTTTTACATTTGCAGTATTTTCAAATAAATAGGTAAAACAACTTCAACTGCACATGAATACATTTGTTTATACGACAATTCTTGAAAACGACATGGCATGAGCATGTCTTCCCAGCTTTTTATTGCCATTACACTGTCACAAGTACAGAGCAACAAAATGAATTCTCTGCATTTAACCCATCCCCTTGGGGAGCAGTGGGCTGCCATCTATATTTCAGCACTAGGGCTAAAAGTAAATACTCAGTCTCCTCAATATCAATTCAAATATGTTGGAACCATCATCCTCCAACTACCTCCAGTCTTCTTTGTGTTTTAACAAGGCACTAAGGTCCAATTGCAGACGATGTGACCCATGTGATGCGAAAAGTGTTTCCATTGCAGTTCCACCTCATTTATTGCAGTGTTTCCACTTAGCAAATTTATTTTTGTAATTAGAATATGAGCAATCTGATGGTTAGTTGAAACAGAGCACATTGAATAAGGCTTTTATGTCTGAAAAAAATGCTTTATAAAGCTTTTAAGTAGACAGAATGCTGACATTTAACTCAATAAACACAGTAACGACATTAGCAGATGACTTGATTTCCCACAGCAAGTGTAAAAACATTTCAATGAAATGCAAAAAGCTTTGTTTCTGTGCCCCTCGCACATCCTCCAGTCTCCTTGATTTCCAGATGAAATAGAAAATTGAAATAGATCTGAATAAAGTAGGACAGCTCAAGCATTGCCTCTTGTTGGAGAGTGGCTTGACTCTAACAGCTGTAGCACATGTGCTTTGGTTAAATTGAGGAACACAGACTTAAACTGCCTTCTGAACTCCTGCTATATTTTTAAATGTTGCATTTATTTTAAAGCTGCAGTTATCACTGTTGCCAGATAATCTTTTTTCTTTCACGTGTTTTCCTTCCACTTAGTTTTTTCTTCTTGTTGTGACTTACCCTTCATATGAAAGCTTTGCAGGACAGCTGTCAAGTCAGCAATCTTTTGCATCACAAGGCAATCACCCAACATCAGGGCTTATGTAACATTTGGTTTTTGGGAAACTAAATAGTGTGTTTCATTATCTGTAAACTGTCATAGTAAAATGGAGGAGAGGAAAATGCTTGAACTATATCTATATATTGGCTGGTGTTTAAAGAATCCATATAATAGCAGAACTTTCCTTTTTAAATTAAACTGCTAAAATTAGAGTTACAGATATAAATCTTTACAATGAATGAAGGAACCCTTTGTTTAAAAATAAATTGAATAGATTACACAAAGATTCTCTCACTTTTGTAGATGTAATATCAGATATTTTATTTTAGGTTTGCCTTTTGCCATTTTTTGCAAATTACTGTAACAAGTTCAGCAGCCACACTCTGAGATAAATAAGGGGCTCTATTTGATAGTAGTGATCACCTTCACTCCTCTCTCTCCTGCACTCCACCCTCTGTCTCCTCTATTCCATATAATATTTCAAAAAGATCTGAGTACCTGAGTCTGATGAAGCCTGCTCTCTTTCTAAATGATCAGCAGACTTCTTTTCTCTGGTTATCAGTGCATTTTTTTTTTAATCTCTCATTAGACCTCAGAAGAAAGGCCATCTGACTAAATGACTCTTGTAGATAGTGGCTGAGGTGTAAGTCCATGTGTGCACTATTGGCCCCTGTGTGTGTATAACTCTTTATAGTACAAATAATCTGTGTGGGTGTAGCGGTTGATGGATCATGAGGAAAAAAAAAAGAAACTCAGAGTTCTTAAGTACCACTACACATGAAAAGGATGGAAGAGGACGTATGTCTACCAATAATTCAAGAAGTAGAAGTGCATTCTGGAGGAAAGTCACAATCAGAAAAGAGAGGGGGTTTTCTTGATACATTAATTATTAACTAATGATTTGGTGATATCTCTGTCATTTATTTCACTAAATGTTCTCATACTCTCACAGACGGTGAAAATTCCACGTTCATGTTGGTTGCGCCCAGAACTAAGGCTCTGGAGCCATCTAAGTTACACTTTTATTGAATAGAAAAAACAGACTTTGGTCACTTATAACAAGTTGTAGTCTTGTTACCAACTACAAACCTTTAAAATGTCACAGCATTTACTCCCTGACACAGAGCAGCCACTGTTCTATATTATCTGTTTGGCAATTTAGCTGACCTTCAGGAACAAGATCAGCAGTTTTGATTTAGCGGACTTTGTGAGATCACTAAACGTGCACAGTGTGTGAATGCTTAGAGAGGAGAAGAGTAGAGTGAATAAAGTTTGAAAGTCCTGTTCAGTTCAGGATGCTTGTATCATGTGATTGCAGTTCCTTTGTCCATCTTGCTTTGATTGTTTAAGCTTTTGGATGCTAGAAGAGAATGTCGTGAGGTCATGTCTTTTGCACTAATAGACAAAGTGCTGTGAAAACATCTTTGCCTCCTTACAGATTTCTTATATTTTCACCTTTTAGTCAAACTAAATGCTAAAGCTTAAAATACAAAGACAACCTGGGTAAAAAGAGAAAGTTTACTTGCAGAGACTATTTTTTATCCCTAAGCAGAAATGTTAGCCCTTCTTTTGCAGGATTGTTCTATTTCAGCCACATTAGAAGGTTTTCAAGCATAACTGGCATGTTAAAGGTCATGCCACTTCGATTTAAGTCTAAAACCTTAATCTTATTTTAGCCTCTCCAGGGTTGACTTTTCTTATGTGCTTCACCTCTTTTTCCAGGATTTTTTTTTTTTTAACAAGGAGCAGATTTCATGATTTCATTAATGGCAGCAAGTCATCCAGCTCCTGAAGCAGCAAAGCAGCTCCAGGCCATCCCCGTATCAAGACGTTTGTCCATCTTTCTTATTGTAGAATCATGAATACTGACCTTAAGGCAAGTGAGGCTTCTAGTGCTTTAGAAGTTGCACTGGGTCACTTGTTGACCTTTATGATGAGTCATTGATGTCTTCTTGGATACTTTTGTTATCCCTACAACTCCTTGGTAGGTCCAACAGGGTTTTTGCTCCACATGTAGCTAAACTCAGCTGTCCAAAAATTTATCACCGAACTTAAAAAAAATCTTTTGCACAATAGCATATGTTTATGTCAAAATCATTTCCACTTAGTGATACAGAATATCATCTACTTGTATCACATATTTATTAAATAATCAAAAGCAATTGTGTAACAAACAGCACAAGACCAGCAAAAAGGACATTCATTTCTCACTTTTCCATCACTACGTTAACAGTGCCATAAAACATTTATTTGTCCCTTTACAAATTTCTTCTGTTTCAGAACCAATGAACCAACCGTTTTTTGTTTCGTTTTTGGTAATAAAGAGAGGGGTTATTATTATAAAAATGATTAAAAATAGCCTAACATTAATCTTTGAAGCGTTCAGAGCCTTCAGAGCGTTGGCCAATAGGCCTAGACAGTGGTTTGAAAGACAACGGGTTGTTGTCATGAACAATCTTCCAATGTCTCATTCATCGGGGCCAGACTAAATTACACATTTAATCTCAGATTTAGTCTGGTCTACCGGCTACTTTATCATCCATTTGCTGACATGAAATCCTTGTTGAAACACACAAAAAAATTTAACAGTGGCTGTCTGCTGCAGAAAGTTTGGGATAGTTGAGTTTTTTTAAATGGAATTCTTTATATTCATGAAATGAAATCTGAAACAATATCCTTATCTAATGGAACAGCATAAACCGTTAGGAAAAAAAGAACTGTAGGGTTGCAAAATGGCCATGGCATGCTGAGTGTAATTTCTCTAAAGACCGAACGTCCAACTTAAGTTATTACAGAAATCTTTTCTGAGGGAATAAGGACTCATTGCACAATCAACCGCCCAGCTGCCTGTTCTAAATAATAAAAAAGGAGAAAATGACGTGTCTTCTTGTTCAAGAATAAAAGTTACTGATGTCACAGTTGTGCATCACATTTCCATTAATCCAGACCCTTATCTTATTTTCTCATTCCTTACTTCTAATATATTTCCAAGCAGAGAAGCTTAGAAAACTACGCACAACATAGATTTGATTTGTTTTGGCATGTCTTGTAAAAATTTATTGACATGATTTTTTTATGAAAACATTTTTGGCTTCCTTATTGTAATGTATTTGTTAATTTAATAATATGCAAAACCATAAACAAACTACTGTAAAATCAAAACAAGCAAAGTGCTTCTAGGGGAAGTTGAGCTTTTCTCCAAAAACATTTTCAGATTATTAGGTTGAAGCTGAGTCAGAGTAGGTTATGACCTTCATGTTTCTGCAGCATTTGTCAATCCTTGCACTGCATTCCTATAAATAAAATATCACCACAAGCAATTGAGCTGGAACAAGATGGTGAAAATATATATATTTTTATTATTTGTTTTATTTTCCTGATGCATAAAAATAAGAATACCCTTTAGATGTTTGTAATGATAAGGTTAAGCCAATGCTGTATTTTTATTAGTGAGCAGGAAGTAAGTAATGTGAATATTAATATGCCAAAGAAAGAACTGCTTTTGACTAATTTGCATGCACCTCTATGTCTGCTCAAATGTCTAGAAATCGCTCAGAAGTGTAAAGGTCAGCCTTTATGTATGTGGTAGGTGTTAACCCTGTGACTGGCTAGTCACTTAATGCATACTATTTCAAGTTCCCTACCCTGGAAATAGTAACATTGCATTTTGGATAAAAGCAGAGGCTGTAAAAAGGCTATTGACAAACAGAAAATAAGAGTAGAGATGAGGCAGAAAGATGGGGTAAGAAATCTCAAAGCTGTATGATCCAATTTTTTTACAACCTATTTCCAGCCACTGTTTGCTTTATTCATGCAATAGATCCATGAAGCAGATTGCTCTCAATGCGTTTCTCTAAAGAATTTCCTTGTGTAGCATTTGTCATTTCTTGAGCCCCAGAATTTTCTTAGAATTTTAAGAGTGCTTTCTTAATATTTAAGAAAATATAATATCAGAATAAAATGTATAAATCGGTCAGCTGCTCAGATGCTGGAGTTTCATAAAGACAGTAGAAAAATGAATTCCTTTAACAGACTCATTTAGAGTCATTGATCAATGTCCAAAATGCAATTGAATTTAAAATTATCACACAAAATATATAAAGATATACTGAACTGTTATTGCCTAAAAACTTGAAGGCTTTTACTCAACAGAAGTATACCTTCAGTGGCATCCCTGTCCTGTTTTGTCATTTGTTTGTCGATACGTATGTTATTATGTTATTCGGTAGATCAAATAGTCTTTCAGCAGATAGCCATTTTTCAATTAAATTTAAAACTCAACTAACTTCCAACAAGTTGTGAAAATAATTCTGGACAGGTTTCTGATAGCTATTAAAGTAATTAAACAAAATGAAATGTTCTTCAAAAATACAACGCATCACTATGTGGCTGTAATTTACTTAAATGCATAAAAATATGGGCACATTTCATTACATGTGGGTTGTTGTATCAGTACAGAAAGACCCCAAGATAGTTTTTGTATAATAACCCCACAGCTGTTAGCCCAAAATGTAAGTTATTTTAAGTAAAACATAGATGAAACCATTTCCTATTATACCTTTAAACGCAGTACAGCTTTAAGGGCAATCTCTTTTTTTTTTTTTTTTTACGCTAGAGCCCTGAAGTGAACAAGTGTGATACAGGGGATAATCCTTCGCAAATCCTGGTTGTGCACGTCCCCATCTTTTTCGGGTTGTCAAGCGTGATGTGAGTGATGCTCCCCAAAAGGAAAGAGTAATAAGCATGTGTCTAAAAGCATGTTTTTCTTTTTCTTTTTTTTCTTTTTTACAAGCATTTAGCTCAAAATGACAAATAAACTTAAAACATACATAAAACAAGGAATTAGGTCATGGTTCACTTTTTTTTCTTTAAAATCTTATACCTTCAACATGCCTGTTTATTTATATATTTATAAGGTGTGCCAACTGTGTGAGGCAAATGCACTTGTGCGTTAAAAAGTATTGCTGAGAATACAAGATGCTCCCATGAAAACTTTTTAAAGCTTACTTTGTCAAAATATCATGAAACCTTAAAAAAACAGCATATGAAAATATGATAGTATATAATGAAGGACCTTCTCTTACAAACTTCTCTTTTAAGCTATTAAATACACTTGTTTGTTCAGCAGCCTCTACTGTTTGAAAAAGGAACTGCAATGACCTGTATGGACGTGACACAAAGAAACACCTGTATCAGTAAGAGTAGAACCAGAGACCAGTGAGGTTATAATGTGACAGTTTACCAGCATCTCTGACTCCCACTGTGTGCTAAATGTGTTGACATGAAACACATGGATTCTATAATGAATGCAAATTCAGCAAAAAGGGAAATGCAACCCTAGCTCTTTACATAGTCAAATATAGCAAGTTAGAAATATAGTTTTTAACCGCTTTCAAATCTTTTTCTAGTTCAAGTTTAAAATTTAATGGCATAAGAGGACCGCACTGACCTGCTGGGCCATTGTGTATTAATTTTGTCTTTCCAAAAAGGTTTTCTTTGAAAATGATAACACGCTTTTCTTGAATACATAGTTTTCAGATCATCACTTCTTTTTTTTATTATTTGCTTTTGAAGAAAAAGAAGTGTTTGCCAAACCGGATTAACAGAGCAGAAATCATAGAAGAATAGTTCCTAACCATCACAGCTGGGAAGAGCATGACTCCACTGGTGATTCTGGTCACAAACGATTGGCTCCTGATCACTGAGTGTGTATCCGGCGTTGCATGTAAATGAGACATGCGAGCCGATGGAAAAGCTACTGCCATGGCGACGACCGTTGACTGGGATACCGGGGTCGAGGCAGGAGTCTGACTCCATCTTCACACCTGAAAATAACATTGCACAAGAACAAACAAGGTGAGTAAATGTGTTTGTAAAAAATACCTCTATCAGCCAGTTTGTTGGTCTTACTTTCATATCTGATGCTGAAACCCGCTGAGGAGCGGCTGTTGTCGGTAGTGAATAACAGGAACAGGAAGTTGGATGTGGAAATCAGGAAATGAGGTGCTTGGGTGCCGTGGTATTCGCCAATCAGAGGAGACGAGGCAGATGGGCCATCTCTAATCTCCAGTGTGTCATAGTTAACCTCTGTCTGGAACCTAGACAAACAAACAAAAAGTATGGACATATGAAATCAGACAACTTTACAGATACATGCAGGGTATTCAAACTATCCAATTATTGTCAAACAGAACATTTGAATATATTGCTGTTAGAACATTACATAGTATTACCAGAAAGGTGCAATTTCTTCCTCCTCTGACAGAGCTAAGCAGGGTTAAATTAGAACAGGCTAATGTCAATTTGATCATTTTTATTGATTTTTAAAAATCTAATTAATAAATCAAGATTTTCACATTTAAATGTAATTTATTTTGTTTTTAGGGTAGAATTATCTCAACATATATTTAAATACTATGTGCTTTAGAGCTTTTGTTTAAATGTTTTTTACAAGAAAATAGAGGGCTTTACTCAAGATACATTTTGCATGTGAACTTCAGCTGCATCTGCTTCATATCAAAGACAAACATATGTTTGGGCAACTTAAAAGATCAGTGAAATTAGCAAGATATCAGGGATAAAACATAAAATGAAGATACATCATTTCAAAAAAGTATTTTTTTGTTTCTTTCTTACAAAAAGCCTTCAAAACGTGCTTGTAATCTTTGAAAATAGTCTTGAGCTTTGGAGGCTTCTACGGGTGTTTTTAATTTATATCTTTGATTTTGTATCTTCAGTGAAAAAACATACCTTATTTGTGATGCAATTATTTTTCATTCCCCGCCCCACCCCCCAATTTAATATACCGTATGTGTAATACGATCTTAGAAACACAACAACCTACAAATTACAGACCCATCAGATCTACTGCAGATTTTTAGGACCAATACTTGACAAATTATGAGTCAAGAAAAAAAACATTTCTCATACAGGCAATTAAAAGCATGATGTTGGCTGAAAATAATCAGGCCTTGGGAGTGAGTCATCCATCATAACAATAACTGACCAGTTCAGTGAAAAATGAACTAGCCTTTGCCACGGACATGTGCATTAATTCGCAAATGAAATACCTCCTAGGTGATGAAGATGACTTGGGCTTTACATCACGTCCCAAAATTACAAATTTCAGCTGTAGCAGTTTCAAGCTCCAGCACATTTTTCCACGGCTTGTTGCCAGGAAAGATGTGTAAATAACAACATTAATCATTTACTGCAGCTTTATATATATCTCTATTTCTCACAGTACTGAAGACTTAATTATATAGTATGTAAGCAACCAAAAAAATACCACAAACTATGTAGTTCATAAGAGCTCAATTTAACCTTCAAATGCAGAATACTAATAACTTACTTGTCAAAGTGTATTTTTACAGCATGGTCTTTCTGTGCCTCAATGACCCACTGACAGTTAAGAGAATCTTTATAAAACGATGGCCAACCAGGAGACAGAATGACACCAGTAGGGGCGGTAAGATGGCCTCCACAAGGAGCTGGAGAAAGGTGGAAAAAAAAAATACACACACACATGACAATGATTAAAAAAATATTCATTTTTGTTTTGTATAAGCACCAAAATTGCATGCCATTAAGTTTGCAGATTTACTCTTTATTTTCTACTTTCTAATCCCTTTTGGAATTTGTTCAGTTTATACACTACTTACTGTACATCTAAAATTATGCTAAGTCAATATTCCAGTAAACAAATCTAACTTTCTCTCATTTGAAAAACACCTTAATTAGGTTATGTTATTTCATAGGGGAAATCAAAAATATGTTTAAGTGTCAAATGATTCAAAAAATGTATCTTAAGATAAGTGAAACTTAGAAAACTGCAGTGTACAAGACTTGCTCTGGGACTAGATTATAGATTAGAAGACTCAGTGAAGTTAAAGAATAATCATGTTAGGTTTGCTCTTAATTATCTTACTTTATATATTTTTTCTTTACTTTTAAGTTCTCAGTTGGTAAATCATATTTTCGATTCACAACAAGAAAAGAAAGTTAGCAGGACAGAGTACATCTCAGTTACTGCCCATTCAGTACCTGGTGTGACCACCATTTGACTCAGTGCAATGCACCATTTGACCAAGTGCAACTCATCCCCTTTGCATAGAGTTGACCAGGTTGCCAATTGTGTCCTGTGGAATGTTGGTCCACTCCTCTTCAATGGCTGTGTCAAGTTTCTGGATATTGGCACGAACTGATACACGCTGTCCATTCGCCGATACAGAGCATTCCAAATATGCTCAACCGGGGACACGTCCAGTGAGTAGGCCAGCCTTGCAACAACTGGGACTTTTTTAGCTTTCAAGAATTGTGTAAAGATCCTTGCAGCATGGGGCCGTGCATTTTCCCGCTGCAACATGAGGTGATGTTCTTGGATGTATGGCACCACAATGGGCCTCTGGCTTTCATCAGGGTATATCTGTGCATTTAAAATGCAACTTTGTTCTTCATCCATAACAGACACCTGCCCATACATGACCCCACCGCGGGCCACTCGATCTACAACATTGACTTCAGAAAACCGCTCACCAACACAATGTCACACATGCTGTCTGCCACCTGCCCTGAACGGTGCAAACCAAGATTCATGCGTGTAGAGAACACATCTCCAACGTGCCAGATGCCAGACATGCAGATGAGCTTTCTCTGAGATGGTTTTTTTGACATATTGGTTATGTAAACTGATTGTTTCAGCAGCTGTTTAAGTGGCTGGTCTCAGACAATCTTGGAGGGGAACATGCTGTGGAGGTCTGTGACTGACATGGTTACATGTGGTCTGCGGTTGTGAGGCTGGCTGGATGTACTGCCAAATTCCCTGAAATGCCTTTGGAGATGGCTTATGGTAGAGAAATGAACATACATGAGCAACAGCTTTGGTTGACATTCCTTCTGTCAGCGAACAAATCCTCAAATCTTGCGACATCTGTTGCATTTTGATTTGTTATAAAACTGCACCTCTCAGAGTGGCCTTTTATTGTGGGCAGTTTAAACGACCCCTGTGCACTAATCTTGGTGTCTAATCAGTATCTTGACATGGCACACCTTTGAGTCAGTGTCGATTACCTAAGCAAAGGACAAGTGATCACTTTCAAAGATATAGACTGGTTTGTGCTCAATATTTGAGGGATATTTTTATATTGTGTATGTGGAAAAAGTTTTAGATCGTTGAGTTACTCTTAAACAAAATGGGAGCAACACCAAAAGGGTTGCATTTCTATATTGTTGAGCGTATGTTTCCAGATTAGCTAAGGCATTGCTATTCAATATAATATTCCATCCATCCATCATCAGTGTGGAGAAATTAAAAGCAATGTATGAAAAAAAAAAATCACTCTTCTGTTGAAAAGATAAATTGGGAGTAAATTTCTTTGATGCTTTGCAATATTAGAAATATTTCTTTGTGTTCACCTTCACATCGGGGAACAGCTGCAGACCAAACAACATTTCCATCCTGAATGATACAAGTCACCTGATCCGACCCCTGGGAAAAAAAATAGTTTCATCAAAGTTGTTTTTACTCTCTAAAATGTGCATTGCTAAAAAGTATACAGATTTTACTTGAGAACAAAATAGCTGATGAAGTAAGAAGTCACATTTTTACCTGTGTTCTGATGAATCCCTGATCACAGCGAAAAGCCACTGAGCTGCCGAGCTGAAACTGGTCACCATACCTTTGTCCATTGACTGGAACACCTGGGTCATGACACTCATTCTGCCCAAATGCTTGTAGGGGACAAAGCAAAAGAAAAGTGGTCAAAATAGCAAAATACTTAGAACCAAATGTTTTTCCAAAGAATACAGAGGTTGGGTCAGATGTCAGGGCAGATGTTGAGCACGTTCAGTGACTAGCATTACTAGAACAGAACTATATAAATTCAGACCATTAACAATTTTCAATAGAAAAAAATGCAGTGTATAGCTGACATGTATAAAACCGGCATTGCATTAAAATGGATTAAAAAAAGTCTCCTCTATAATGGATGATTTGATTATATGTTGGTTTTCAATACAATCTAAGCCTAAAATGGGTAATAAGGAAAACATAAATGAATAGGACACCACTGCTCTATCAATGTCATTAAATGTGACAACTCCACCGGTACAGAAATATGGGAATGAAATTATCTGTATGTGAATTCAACCTTGTCATGTTTGGCTTATATTATCCACATTCCAGAGATTAACCTGATTCCAGGCAGAGCACATATCCAATGATTTGACATGTCTCAGGTTGATTAGCTACTGATGGGGAGGAAATGAGCTCAAAATGAAATGAAAAACACAGAGGAAAAAAACGAGGGACAGAAGAAACTGTGAGCATGCAAATTTAAAGAATGTGCACATATCATAGCGCTTATATGATAGAATACAGATTTGTATTAAATAGACTCTATAAATCAAAATGCATATAATTTTCAAAGACATTGTTTGACTCTACTCAGATGTCAAATAAAAACAGCAGCCCTGTGTCTAATGCACCAGGAAAAATATGTGTTTGAGAGGAGGTTAAAAAGAAATTACTGAGAGCAAAAAGTAAAGAAAAGAAAACTTCACTGGATTAAACCTTATTGTAAGGGACATAAAAAGATAACATCATACCAACAGCTCAGACAAGCAAAAATAATGATGAAGAGCTTTTGTTATTATATGGAGACATTCTTTATAAAAAGCTGAAGATGAATCAATCACATTTTCAAGCAAGACAATGATCGAACTCACAGCCAGGGAAACTATTTGTTCAAGAAAGAAAATAAGAAAGAATTAACCAAACAATCATCTGACTTGAACACAACTTATTTTCAGTTTTTTTTTTATTGAATTTAAGAAAGCAGACCAGAAATAGCAACATTTTATGTCACTTTTATTAATAAAAGGGTCCAATTGTATAATACAAGCAATACCTGACGCCAATAATGTTAATGGACTTATTGTTTAGATAGGGTGAGGAGCTCGGTCATTCGGGAGAGGCTCAGTGTAGAGCCGGTTCTCCTCCACATCAAGACGAGTCAGTTGAGGTGGCTCGGACATCTTCTTCGGATGCCCCCTGGACGCCTCCCTTGGGAGGTGTTCCAGGCACGTCCCACTGGGAGGAGGCCCAGGGGACGACCCAGGACACGCTGGAGAGACTACGTCTCTCGGCTGGCCTGGGAGCGCCTAGGGCTTCCCCTAGCAGAACTGGAGGAGGTGTCTGCGGAGAGGGAAGTCTGGGAGTCTCTGCTTAGTCTGCTGCCCCCGCGACCCGGTTCCGGATAAAGCGGGAGACGACGAAGACGAAGACTTATTGTTTTTGATTGTCTTGTATGTTAGGATAATCTAGATCACATATGTGAAAGTCAAGGCCTGAATTGTTTATCCATGGCCCCCTGGATAATATTTAATTACCATTAGAACCGGCCCACAGGCCACGGCCGCTTGTGCTTGCTGCTGTGACTTCGCATCCTGCCGTTGCATTGTGGGGAATGTAGTGTTGGTGCGGATGTGTTGCACGCACCAAATCTACATTCTCAGGGGAAAACAAAATTGTGTTTTTCTTTTCTTTTTGTTGTTCTTTGCATGTTTGGATTGTTTTGGTCTTTGCTTTTCATCCTTTAACAATCTAAGCTGGGCTGAAGTCGGTGGCCTGAGGAGGCGGAGTGAAGCCGAATTAAAAGGAGCCTGGATGGAGGGAGGGGACACGCTGATGAGCTAGGGGCAGCTTGGATCCACATGATACTCTGGTCGAGACGGAGCGCAGACCTCTGACCTGACTGCCGTCTGTTCACCTCCCAGTATTCTGTGCCTGAAGTGCGGATCCCACCTGCCCCTCGCTCGGCAGCGTGTCCGTCTCTTTGACCAGCAGGATCAGCTCCCCTCTCCTTCAATCCAGGCTCCTTTTATTTGGCTTCAATCAGCCTCTGCTCACACCTGTAGTCTGTAGTCTTTTTGATTCTTGTGTCCTTTTTGGTATTGCTCTGCTTTTTGTTTAATAAATTCCTCTGGCTGAATTCTGGGTCCGCTGTCATCTTTCATCACAAAAATTTTATATTTCTTTGTACAAGATGTGATTTTTCTTTGAAGAAAGTATTGTTTTGTCTGTGTGCTATAGATTTTCATGTTTTATTTTATTTTTCATTTGAATAGACTGCAGATAAGAGGCATGAGAGAGAATACAAATGATTAGATTTTTCCTATTTTACTATTTGAAAGCAGTGATCTGTAGGATCATAGTACAGCACAGTAATGCATTTTCGGTTTATAATGCATGCACTTTCATTTATGTATTTATCTCAATAAGTTTATTAATATAATAAAAGTTTCTTAATAATTTAGAGATTAATATTTTGTTTAAAAAAAATGTGTTAGGTCTTGGTTCAATAGGCGATGTTCATTTCAACATCTTTTAATAAACATTTAACCAGTCGGGTCCTCGGCTTGTAGCTAATTTGTTTGTTTTGGCCCTCGGTGTGTTTGACTTTGACATCCCTGATCCAGATTGTTACTAATGTTTGGTGTGAATTTGATGTCAATTGAGCCCATTAGAGTTCTGTCCAGCACTTTTCCCACACTGTTGTTATTTCTTTGAATTTACTTGCCTTTTTCTTAACTTTAAAAATCTTCACAGTGAAGAAGTGCTAATAATAGTGGCATCTATCTTGAAAAAAATAAATAAAACCCTGCTTTCAAATACAAAAAAATCACAATAGAAATTAAACATGACATATTGCAAATAGCTTACACCAAACAAAAAAAAAAAAATAATAATTTAAAGGAACAGTTATTAGCTAGGACTGATTATTTGGCTCCATAAACTGCCTTAAGCAGTCTTGTGTGTGTCATCACCATATTCGACTTTTTAAAAACATTATTATTCAAGCAGTACAAAAACACCTCAAGCAACTTCTGTTAAAACTAACACATGCATTAAAATGTTAATGGCCCATCTTACTAAACTGGGTAAAGATACCCTGTATTAATTATGTCAACAAGTACTGATTAAGTAGGGAATCAAAAATGTTATCATTAAAAGCTCATAATTGGAAACTTTTTCAATTTCAGTGGGAACTACTCAAGTTTGTACATATGATAAATAACAAACGCATTGAAGTTTCTTGTAAGCAGCTTTTTTTTTTAATATAAATATGCTGAAACAAAAAAAGCAATTTAATATGTCAAATGTCACCCCTAAAGGAAGAGCTGGAGACAAGGTCATTTATGGAGGCAGTGTGTGAAATGGTGCAAAGCTGCATAGTAATCATACAAAATGAATCAAAATCATTCATGCACAACTTGTTCGACCTACAGCATTCCAGGTAAACACACAGGCTGCAAAAGTCAGTTTAAAAGTCTGACAGAATGAAACAGACCTTAACAAGTTGATGACCTGCATAAAGCAGAGCTAATCAGACTGCTCATGCTATCACCTTTACTTTGTATATCACTTTTACTGGAATTTAGTCTTTTGCCTCATTTGGAGCTTTCAACACTTATCTAAACAATGAATAACACAAGTAAAGGATTAATTAAACATATTTCAACTCAACTGCTATTGAACTTTTCATAAAGTTTAAATGATGATTAGGATATAGTTGCAGCTATCTGCTCCAGCTATGCATGTCAACTTTATAATGGTGGCATCTTTTAATTAGTTATGCTGCAGATTATGTGGTTTGACAAGGATCCAATTCGACTTAGCTGTTACTTACAATTGCAAGGTTAAGTTAACAAATGAACACCACTTGCAAGAATTTATCAGAGCATATTGATTATGGACTAATGGAAAGTCACGATAAGAGAGAAACCAGGACAAGTTAGAAAGCCAAATAATATTTTCTAAATACTTAAAGCCCTGTCTTTAGTTCTGAAAGTATGGACAACCCATGAAATGCTATTTTTAATGGTTGTCATTATCAGAATAAATTTCCTAATAAACATAAATAATATATATATATTTTTTCAAATTATGAAAAAATGCAATTCCAGACTGATTGTTGTGCAAAGACATGTCGGGTTACAATCTCTTTTAATGTCATAATATGGATTAAAAGTTAATCCTTGTTAGAGTATCCCAAACATTCAGTGATTTTGCTACTAAAAAAAGTTGTTTTCTCAAACTCTCGATGGAGAACATTTTAAGATACCCTCAGCTATATGTCCTGTCACATTGCAGTGAAATTAGGTAAGCCAAAATGACATAATCTGTAAACATGGTATATTAGTCTGGAAAGGACCAGGTAGAGTCTGATTTTAAAGTCTGGACTAAAAAGGTCAGTGGATACAGATAAGGACCAATCAGATCTATTTAAATAGAAAACGGGCGGTTGTTGAGGTTTTAAAGAAATATTCAGCTCATGGTAGAATAATAGCTTCCAGCTTTTTTTTTTTTTTAAAGAACGTCATAAAAATACTGCTCCTTTACGGCCATTCTCATGACTCTTATGGGTACAATTCTGACGCTAAGAGTAAACACCTGCCTCCCACTATGTGATTGGTCTGGTGAATTTGAGAGTCTCCACATAGAGAATCACTGTGTATTGAAATCACACTATGTAAGTCATTGTGGCTGGCCACATAGCAATGTCCCTAAACACCTTGTAGAGCACACACTATCAAATGGACTGACAGAAGCAGGTAAACAGGTATGCAGTACATACTTGTATAACTGATATTGAAGCCTTTCCCAGTATTGGAATGGTCAGACTGGAATTCCAGTCTCATTATATGTCCATTTGATGCAATCTGTGATGGAACGTCTTTTCCTGAGAAGGTCCCAAATGTTGTTGCCTCAGACAGACCTAAAATAAAACAAATTGCAGATGAGATTTTCAGAGATGCCTCAAAACATCAACAAACCATTTTTATATCAAATCAAAGAGTACAGGGAATATGATCTTCCTAAATCCGTCAAAGTCCAGCTTTGAAGTACTCCTGTTCATACTGTTGAATTTTCCACTTCTAGGTTAACTAGGGAATGTGTTTTCCAGTCACTTTCTAATAGTGTAGGAGTGTACTACTGTATGCACACAAGTGTGCAAAGTGAGAGTATTATTGTTATGACACTTCACAATAAATTATTCTTAATCTAATAGTATAATGTGAAATTAACAGTAAATGACATGAAAAACTAACACTATTCTTCCCACAGTTCATGCAGTGTAGAACAGAATAGAGTAGATTAAAACAGAATAGAACAGAATAGACCAAAAACCAGAACAGAATAAAATAGAACTCAAACATGTAGATGTGCCGGCAGCAAAGCAGAATTGGAAAATTAAATCATAGAGGTACACACAAGGAAGGAAAACAAAACAATTAAAACAAACGTTTTCAAATAGACAGCACCGCAAACATTCTTCGAAACCGGAATGCTCACATCAATTGCCTGAACTATGTGACAGCAGAGAGCCTTGTGGTTGGCCCTCTCGGCATCAAACTCTCCAGACATAATCGCACTGACATCTTTCACAAGCTGACAATACTCAAAGCGAACATTCCGGAGGGAAATATTTGTTTACTCAAAAGGTCCTGAGAGAACAGTCGAAGTACAAGACTGTGTACTGGATCCAAACTTTTACCCTGGAGAGTGAAGCTTCTCAGTCCTGATATCTACTGAAAGGTTAACTGCACCATCTACAAGTTTTCATTATCCACTGAATGAAATATGTGAATGTAAGATAATTTCCTTATACCAACAGAATACTGTAATTCTGACAATGTATGAGCAGTGAAAATGTATTGATAGTCCTCATAGTTCCTACTTCCCAGTAGTTCTTGTATTCTGAAACTGTTAGACAAGCTGTTAATATTGTGTCTCTTGCTATAGCAGTGCAAATATACAAACTAGCCAATTCAGGGATTAGTGATCGTAATTATTTTAAGTTTCTGATAAATCTCAAAAAGCATTTAGGCCTAACCAACATTAGTATGGGAAAGCATGGGAAAAAACTACTCTGATCAAAAGTGATTTTGACCAATTATGCTGAAATAAGAAACTTTCAAAGTGGTCTAACATCAGCACAAAAACATCCTAAAGACAGAGAAATAATGTAGAAAAGAGGACATAAACAATGTTATCCTAAAGCAAAGGAAAGAGGGGCATGAAAAGATCTTGTTCTTGTTACAGCCTTTAATATCAACTAAGCTAAATCTTAAAGGAGATTAAACAGCTTCTAACTACAAAAATCGAAATCTTGACTATATTAAACTTAATTGAAAATGATTTAGGGAGTCAAATTGTATACAACAGAAATGGGCATGGAAAGGGAGGTGAGAAAGAAAGAGGGTATAAGAACTAAGGGGAGAGAAAGAGATAGAGATAGGAAAGAGCGCATGAAAAGAGAGGAAAACAACACAAAACAGCAAAAACAGACAACTCAGAAGATATACAGCAACTCGTAGAAGTTGGCTTCCACACCTGTATGAGACGAGAGGAACCGAAAACAAAGACAACAACAGACAACCAAAGTAAAAATAAGAAAAGCTGCTCTTGCAGCTTGGATCCCTTAGATATCCATGTGTGTCGCAGTCAAAACCTCTGGTGATTACACTATATTAATCAGGGTAGTATATATCTGTAGCAGCAGCTTAGTGTCTAGTATTATTGTGTATTTGTAAACACCTGGAACCTAACTTGCATGGTATGTATGCATACGAATGCTTGTGCAAAAAGGTTTCACTAAGCTTCTTCAGAAGGAAAATATTCTTAAAAGCAGGTGTGGGTGGCAGCATGATGTAATTCTTGAGATGGACTACGTCCCAAAGTCATCTACATGACTGAGGTTTGTTGACAGTAGCTGTTGATGAAGTACAATGGCCTCCAAAAGGATTAGTATCTTAATGTCCAAATATTCTGTACCATATAATTCAGAGTTAAATAGAAGTTGGTGTTAACGAGCAACTGAACATGTGTAACTAATAATGTGGTTGCTGCTAATATGTTTAATATGTTTATATTTGATAAAGTCATTTTAAAATATCTACACATTCAAACCTTAACATTTTTATCTGATGTTATTTACAGCTTTTGGTTTAACATGTTATGAGATTACTGCATTTGAACAGATATACAAACCACACTTTATGCTCAAAAATATATTTTACAATTACCTTTACCAGTCTGGATGTGATTTTTAAGGTGTTTTTGGATTCATACATTTATCTAAAAATGCTAAATTCATGTAAAACCCTTGTTAAGATTCTAGGTTCAATATTAGCTAAATAAATATTTTCACTACTTTTTGGTCTCAAGTAACAAAAGTACATTGAGTTGTTGTAAAGAAAGTTACTGTCAGCTTTGCATAAAGGGAGGTTGTACCAACCAGATGAAAAGGTCTGTGAACAATCGAAGTTAGGATTTGATGAGACTGTTGTACTTTCCATCAGTGATTTGCGGATACTAAAACCCTCCTTTTTCCTAATCTATAAATAGTGCCTCTTGGAATATCTAGGCATCCTAGCCTTTGAAGGCATTTGCTCCATTAAAAATATTGGGGCACTGTTTTTGCAGCTGTAGTAGGTTGAATACTTTGGAGACATAAGAGAATACACTTTAGTTCATTCCAGGAAAACTATTTTTTAAAGCATCCGTTTCAGTTTGTGTTGGTCTGTTTGAAAATATTGCTTGATGGAAGGTTCTGTTGATTAGTCAGAGTAGTTAGGGCTGAAGATGGGATGAAGAATTTAAAACCAACAGGAGGCCAGACTGGATATGGTTACACAAAGTTTCCCAAGATTTTTATTATTGTTACCCAATTGGCATACAAATAATATAATGGTGGAAAATGTATTCTGGACTCCAGTGTTTTATTTTACTGTGATTCTAATCTTTCTATTCCTGATTCCTGTTTGAAATAAAAATGCAGTTGAGAGAAAATATCCTTTACATACATACTATATTCTTTACAGGCTATAATATCTCATTTTCAGTTAATGCTACTGTAGATGTCCTAACACCATGGCAGGAAAGATTTAACGGGCCCATCATCCCCGTAGGGTTTTATGATTGCAATAACTTTAAGATTGCCCTCTACAGCCTTTACAGACCTCACTGGGAACCCGATGAATGACCCCAAAGCTTCCCACAAAAACTGCCCAAGACATGCATCCTCTGTGTTCTTTGTGGCACGTGTGTGTTAAAACATCTGACTATTTTCCTCAACTTATGAGGAATACAATAAAATAACAAGGGGAGGACCAGAACACTGCCCAGATTATTAATTTGATTATGTAATGTACCTAATATGCAAGTAAAGTTTATATCCAGGAATACGTCTACAGAAGGCACCACTAGTAATGTAAAAATATAGATATGAAACTTTATGAACAACTGTATTAATTTAACATGAAACAATGAGTAAGGGGTTAATAACGGCTTGTTATCTAGATTGAGCAGTTCTTGATAGACCAGATGTGGCTTAATGCCCATAATACTGACGAATTGAGGGTGAAAAGCATACATAACTATTCATTTATGTATTTTCTGCACTGGTTAAAATTCCTATCTCCAACTAAGGTAAACAACTTTAAAATGTATTCCTTAGTAATTGCTTGTGGTAATTTTCAAGTTCACTGTGTAGCTTACATTTAAAACTATCAATTGTACAGTTTAGATTTGCAGGTGAGGCCTATCCCATTTGATATTTCTATGAGAAGTACTTTTCATATTCTCATATTTGATCTGGATTTAATTTAATTCAATGTAATCTGTTTTATATGACTTTCATGTTGTTTTTTTTCTCTCTTTTATTAACTGTTCCATCTTTCTGATATCATATATTTAAGCCCAGCAGGAATATAATACTGTTCCTGTACAGAACAAATTTCTTAATCAATTACTACAAAAATGTTTAATTAAAAGACACAGGTCAATAATTATTTTTGTAATGTAAAACATTTAAAAAAACATAAACAGTTATTTGATCTCAGGTTGCACCAGTGTGCTTAACTTTTAATTTACTGATCTGTCTACATTCTCACCCATATCTCTGTTTATAAGACACTAATCAGGTCCAAAAATAAAGATACTGGATACAAGCAAGAAAAACAAGCTTTCTTCAAAGGATGGGTATATAGGGTAAAGAACCCCTTCATTGGAGGGAGCTCAGAACAGAGCAGCTACTTCTCCATATTAACAGGAATCAGTCAAAGTAGTTAAGGCATTGCATTGGATTGCCCACTTGGTAATTCTCTTAGGTGGTTTACTGTGAATGTCCTACTACACAGAAAATAAGAAGGCCCTGGGATGCAACTGATTAGGCTGGAGGATGTTGCTGAATGGGAGGGATTGCTCCAGTTTCCTCCTTGACCTGTTAACCCTGTAACCTGACATTGGATAAGCAAAAAGCAATGAATTGATGGATGTTTGGTAATTTTTTGTTCATAAAGTTTACAACTTGTTTCAGTACCTAATGGGTGTATTCAAACTTGGCATATCTGGAGGTTCTGTAACCAAAGGTTGATTTTTCCAGTTTAGGGGTTCCCGGAATGTGATGCTTTTGACTTGAGTTTAGTATCTAGTTTTTTGTGACTTGAGAAATTGAGTTAAGACTAGTTATAGACCCTATAGTATTTTTCAATAATGGTCGAATGTAATTCCTGCTGACTCTCCCCTGTAGATGCATATCTAGAAAAAAAACAAAACAAAAAAAAAAAAAAATTAAAAAAAACTGAGGGTGACTTAACAAAAGCTACAGAGGAGAGCATGGCAGCATGCAGCTGTCTCAGAAAAATATTGTTATTGTTGCTTACGATAGAAGATTAATGTTAAATGGTTAAGAAAGAAGACTGAATTATCACATTTGATCTGTAAATTTAGGAGTGCGTTTGAGTTTATTTGACAGAAATAAGAGTGCAGCTCAATGCAGCCTCCCAGAAAAAAATTTAAATAAAAAAATAAAACAAAAGAATATTAGTGCTGCTGATAAGAAATTCCCGCTGCACTTAACACATCAGGCTATATTACTGCATTTCATCCTCAAATATTAAAAAAGTGTTTTTTTGTGTCCCCCTGCTGTCTAACTTGGCAGTCTGAAGGTAAAAAAAAAGTCTGTTCTTAAATTATAAATTTCTGTCTGCCTTCAATACTCAGTAGTTGAGAAATCCAAAAAAGAGGGGAAAGGAATCAATTTCAAATTGTTAATCCTGGCACTAACATAAATGCAGTGCAGCCTTACTGAATTTTATTTTATCGAAAACGACTTTCATTTTAACACGTTTATTTTATGACATTATAGACTTTTTTAAAACTCTTTTTTAACCTCTAAATGCCTGTTTTCTTCTCTTCTAGTGTACCTTGATGCTATTTGTAGCACCTGTGCTTCTAGGCTGAAATGGAAGACTTTGACAGGTGTCATGAATTAGCTTGATTGTATTTAGATTAAGACAAAACACATTTTTTGGCCACTGGGAAAGAGACCAGCTAGGAGTCCTGGTCAATAACAAATATGTCAATTTTTGGAGGTGTTTTCCCCCAAGGCTCTTAAAACAGCAATTATCAAACAGCCAAGCTGCTACTGCAGAATTACAGGCCCATTTCAAAGCTCCCCTACTAAAAGTATTGAAAAAGATGTGTTTCAATAGTTAAGCCTCTTCCTAACAATGACCAGTGACTTCAACATCTTCCAGCCAGGCTAGATTATTTTTGTAATAAAATAAAAATCTTTTAATAATAACATAACATCCTCCACTCTATATTTAAATACATTGTCAATTAATAAATGCATTTACTGTATAGCAAGTTGTCAGGTCGCCAATAAAGGGTAGGCAGTATTCGACACCATTATAGCTAGGTAATTAACTAAAATGTTTAGGAGCCCCTGATGAGAAGCATAGAAGCTTTTTGTCCTAATTTTTTTTGTCTGAGCCATCCAGACAACTGTCATTCATTACAACTGTCTACAAGCTGAAAGACGTTGAAGCAGGCCCTCCCAGCTGCAATTAACCTACCATTTTCTAAAAACCTTTACACAAGACGAAAGAAAGAAAAAATCCCTGCAGACGCAGAGGTTTACAGCCAGTCAATTAAACACAACTTCATCCTGCCTGTCAAACAGAGGCTTAACTTGAACCTGCCAAATCAATAACCCTGAAATGTGGAACAACAATATAATTGCTCTGTGTTTTACTGTGAGGTGAAAAAAATGATCAATGTGATGAAATAAAACATAAAATGGCAATTATCTTTCTGTCCGGGTTATCGACCAGTCATTCTTTAACCCAAATCCAGTCTGAAGACTACATTGGCTGCTCATAAAGACAACTGGAAGAAAAGGCTTTGACTTATATAATTTTACAATTTAAAGCAGCAATAAAAAGACAATTCAGGTTTCAGTTGTAAATCATTAAAACCTAACTGGCAGTAAAAATACAAATTATTTTAACCAAATATTAAAACTGTTTTTTTTTGGTATCAAAAGATTACTACCTTCATCTTTGACCACCAGCCAATCGAACTGCGGCTCCAGGTCAAAGTCAGAGAAGAAGAGATGTATTCGACTTCCTGGCTCAGAGATAATCAACCACACACAGTTTAGATTGTTGCCATACTCCTCCGGGTAGTTTGGGGACAACACAGTCCCTGAAGGAGCAGTGAAATTAAAGAAACAAGAAACTGCAAAAAGAGAAGTGGAAAAAGGGAGGAGTTTTAGACAATCAAACATGTTAGTAAAGTTCACTAAAAATGATGCTTCAAATGAGTACAAACATCCCAAATATACATTTACTTACACACACAACTGGGCTTGTTTCCAGACCACTGGTTATTGTGCTGGCATGTAATGGTCTTTTCCCCAACAAGCTCAAAAGCTGACTGGCAAAAGAAGGTCAGTATATCACTGTGCTGAAAGCGATCGCCGCTACGATGACCAAACGCAGGCACCCCGGGATCGCCACAACCTCCCCTGTCAATTTCTGTAACACAAACAGGTGGAATTTCAGTCCTGTTAACTCATTCCAATTTCCATCTTTAAATGGGAGCAGAACAAGAATTAGAACACTAAAAGCCGTTTTAATGAAACACGTTAAATGATTTGATTAAATGTTTTTTTTTTTTTTTTAGGAAACACTGAATAAACAGAATACAGTTATGGTAAATTTTAAAGTCATAGTGAAATGGCTGTTCCAACCGTTGTATTTACAAATTCTCTTGAGTGGTCCCCAATTTTACAAGAGTGAATAAAGTTTATGTGATTGGTCGGTTATTTTGCCTCGCAACACTGACAGTTTTGTTAGCTCTTCGCCTGCCGAAGAGACAGACGTCCATCGCTGTGAACACTGGGACGTTACTCAATGGTAAAGTAAATTATTCTTATATATTAGCTGCGACATATGAATCAAGATGCTAGGACTGAAAAAATTTGACTGACAGATTGGCCGAAATTAAAAATGAAAAGCTGACATATAACTAACTGGCCTGCATAAGATAATGAAAAAACCCACATATTTTAAGACAGGATTTTTTTTTAATAAATATAAATTTGGGGAAAAAATAGTCTGATAAAGAGTACATTTATATACATGTTTAAGCCAGAATGATTTGACATTTAAATATGACTTCCCTATAACTTTAAAGCAGGATTAGTTAACAGAATAATATCTACTAATAAACTACATTTAATTGGAATATGGATGGATTTGGGGAGTGGGGTTGAGCTTGATCCTGCAGCAGGACAACAAACAGAAACAGCAACAAATTGAGGGTTTCTTTCAGACTTTATTCTTGTATCAACATGATTTTGTCAAAGTCCATGCCTAAATTGAATTGACTCACTCCCTTTTATCCTGCAGGGCTTGCGGAAGAGATAAAACCAAGACATTTAATTGTCTACATTTCTAAAGCTAAATGTTTTCATCAAAAGACTTGTAGCTACAAGTATTATAAACAGATCATTAGTTTGGCTGCAGATCCATAACATAGCTAAAAATAGATTTTCTTAATTTTTGCTGAAGATCGTGTACAATTATCTCCAACTTCACAGTTATATATTTCTATATTAAATTGCATTGAAGTGAAAAATAATGGAAATAGGACACCAAGATCTGGAAGAAAGTTCTGCTGTGCAGTGATGTAGCGGCAATCTGTGTGAAATTTATTTAATTGCTCCCCCTCTTACAGCTAATTGTCATCAGGGTAATTGTAGTGCAATTCTGTTTTAATTGTAAAAGAAAAAACAATAGTTGAAGCATAAACAACACCCTCAACCCCATCAAGCATAATTGTTTGGAAATTACATAAAATTTAGGAGAAAGAAGAAATATATTATATCCCTCTCTTTTACAATCTGGCAATAAGGCATATGTCATCATATAACGCATTATCGCCTGGAACTCTGTCAAACAATCAAAATCTTAATATAACTCATATTTGTGTTTGGAACTCAGCTGGGATGAAAAAATACCCAGAAGAAGAAAAATAATTTAGGAAATCTCAGATGTGTTTGGCCAAGAGCTTTCTGTCACACAGATGACGAGTGTCAGGATGGATTTCAATTATCCTGACCCCAAAGTTAAGTCTGTCTTATGCTGGTAGCTGCCTCACCAAGATTTGGTTGTATTATTTATCCTCCAACTTTTTGCAGTTATTTTTTTTTTTCTCTTCAAATTCAAAAACTTTCACCCCAGAGTTCCCCTGAGCATACATTTCTGAATTGTAGTTTGAAAACATGAAAATTCTATTGTCTTTAAAACAGACATATGAATTTGATGAATGCAGACTATATGCAAAACTTTGGGTGCATTAGAGTGTATTTTTCTCAAAAATTATATCAAAATCTTACTCTTATATGTTTTACATTTTGAAGAATGATAAGGCTATATGAAAACATTTACAAAGATGTAGGTCATTTAGAGTTTATATCCTTTCTGATTAGGTTAAGTTTGTAATACCAACAACAGTGAAATGTCATCCTGTTTTTCATTTAATGAATAAATCAATGCAAAAAAAAAAAAAAAAAGAATTCTTATTAAATTTCTTTGTATGAATGAGGTAAACACATGTATGTAAACATGTTAACTGACAAAGTCAGAAGGCCTATTTTTAAATTTGTTCTTTTAATTTTAAACATATCTGATAAAAACGTATTGTTTTTTGGAGGGATTTGAATACTTTTTAAATGCATTAATTGCAATGTTACTTTTTTGAGTGCATCATATTAACATGGTCATTTATTCTAATAATCCACAGGGTGCACACAAACACACAGGGCTTCTCTGAAAAAGGAGCATAACCTCATGCCATTTAAGGAAACTGGTGCAGATTTGTGCTGAAAATCTAAGATAACTCAGGGGGGTAAGACTGATCAAAGTGCATATCGTGGTGATCTTATTGCATCTGACAGAATCACATATACCCATGCAAGGGGAGACATAAAAACACAGTAGGCAGTTGCTGGGTTCTGATGGGGGAGGGGTAAAACTAAACCATCTTCGGGAGATCATTCAGTACTGTTGGAATTTCACATTTCTACTTTCTGTGTAGAAAGTGTTCACTTTTGTGAGGCCAACCTGGTTAATTTCATTTTTTTAAGCTGCAATCAACATATAAAAACTTAGAAAATACACCTTGAAAACTACAAAGCCAAACTTATTCTTAAATTTCATGTTGAAACTAAAACATTTCAACCATAAAATTGTAGCAAAGGTTTTTCTAATAGTAAACTAGATCATTTCAGCACCGTAAACTAAATACAAATAGGTTACGGAGCTAAACCCAACTAAGATGTTAAGATAAAAGAGCTATATTGTTTTAGAAGTCACATGGTTATTCAGTTACTGCATATTCCTGAGTGGGCCTGATCCCAGAAAGTCAATAACATCACTGCAGTAAACGGAACTGAAAAGATGCAGAATATAACTTTAATCTTTCCCCATTCCCCCTCTGAGTCTGCTCTGGTTTTCATGTCACATTACATGGCAAATAAAGATATAAACACACAACAGCTCACAACTACTGGTGTGAAAAAACTGAAGGAAAGTTTTATGTTTTTCAGCTAAAGTTGGACGAATGGAAATTTTATCAAACATTTTTTAAAAATGCAGTTTTTAAAAGTCAATATTTTTCTATGTCAGTAAAACAAAAACAAGAGAAAAAGGAATAAAAAAAACATTTTGGTCAAACATTTACGCAGTGGAAGGGCTAGATATGATCTATCCCGAGTATCTCTGGACCCTAGATGCTGTGGAGTTGTCGTGGCTGACATGACCTTCGAGATCAGTGGTCGTGGACAGTATTCCTGGACTGGAAGATTGTGGAGGTGGGGAACCAGAGGATGTGTTCAAACTATAGCGGGATCAAACTAATTTGGCTTCCCTGAAACGGACCATGCCAGTGTGCTAGGGATAAGAGTTCAATACAGCTTCTGGAAGAGCTTGAGTCAGTGCTTTACCACATCATAAGGATTCTGTTCAGGTGGCTCGGGTATATGTTCTTGATGCCTTGCATAAAAACAATATTTCAGAGGGAACTCTGGGTGTCTCTGCTGAGAGTGCAGCTCCCACTACCCAGTCCAGGATAAGTGGAAGATGAAAAGTAGGCATATAAATGTACAGATCCAGAAAATGCAGAGATTTTGACCTGTCAGCAGTCCAATAGAGTTGTGGATAAAAGGCAACTTTTAGAAATGTCCCTTATGCAATACACTTAAATAAAATGGCTAAACTACATAAAGCTCTGCTAACGAGCTAATAGAGTCAGGTGTGTTGAAGCATAGAACTATGTAAAAGTTGCAGGACAGCGGCCCTAAAACATGGCCAATCCTGTCAAGCAATTAGTTAATAGTCGGATGAAGATAATGTACAAAACTAATAATTTTCATTATTGTAAAAAAAGAACTTGAGGAGACATCTGTAAGGAAACTTAATGCTTTGAAATTGTAATGCTTTAGAAAGGTCTAAAGAAAAAAAAAAGACCAAAGTGTAAGCTCTGCGTATGTATTCATCCATTTTCTTTTGAAGCCCTGAAATGTTTACTATTTGTCTTCAGAAGTCGGATAATTGGATCAGTTAAAGTGTTATATTATCTTCGTGTGTGCACACATGTGATAGGCCCCAGAGTCTGCAGCAGCTCTAATTAAGCAGCAAACACTAAGCCCAAACACTGAGAACACCAAGAAGCTCAGGTCAAGAAAAAGTGCACATTAGGAAATGGTGATAGTGTATAAAAATATTAAAACTGAAGATCCCGCAGAGCCCCATTAAAACCATTTTTAGGAAAACAGAGAAAATATAAGATCAAAACAAACCAGGTAAGAGGTGCACAACCCCATAATCCACCAAGGAGGAAAGACATGCATTAATCACGGGTAACATTGAAGATAACTGTAACTGTTAAGGGGCCTTAAGCTTCTCAGCAGAGACCAAAAAGTGTGTTTGCAGGATTTCATTTTACTACAGGTGCTGGTCATAAAATTAGAATATCATGAAAAAGTAGATTGATTTCAGTAATTCCATTTAAAAAGTGAAACTTGTATATTATATTCATACATTACATACAAACTCATATATTTCAGATGTTTATTTTGTTTAATTTTGATGATTACAAATGACAACAAATGAAAATCTCAAATTCATCATATCAGAAAATTAGAATATTACTGAAGACCAATAAAAACAAAGGATTTATAGAAATGTTGGCCAACTGAAAAGTATGAACATGAAAAGTATGAGCATGTACAGCACTCAGTATTTAGTTGGGCCTCCTTTGGCCTGTATTACTGCAGCAATGCGGCGTGGCATGGAGTCGATCAGTCTGTGGCACTGCTCAGGTGTTATGATAGCCCAGGTTGCTCTAATAGTGGCTTTTAGCTCTTCTGAATTGTTGGGTCTGGTGTATTGCATCTTCTTCTTCACAATACCCCATAGATTTTCTATGGGGTTAAGGTCAGGAGAGTTTGCTGGCCAATTAAGAACAGGGATACCATGGTCCTTCAACCAGGTACTGGTAGCTTTGGCACTGTGTGCAGGTGCCAAGTCCTGTTGGAAAATGAAATCTGCATCTCCAAAAAGTTGGTCAGCTGCAGGAAGCATGAAGTGCTCTAAAACTTCCTGGTATGTGGCTGCGTTGACCCTGGACCTCAGAAAACACAATGGACCAACACCAGCAGATGACATGGCACCCCAAACCATCACTGACTGTGGAAACTTTACACTGGACTTCAAGCAACGTGGATGAAGTGCCTCTCTTCTTTTCCTCCAGACTCTGGGACCTTGATTTCCAAAGGAAATGCAAAATTTACTTTCATCAGAGAACATGACTTTGGACCACTCACCAGCAGTCCAGTCCTGTTTCTCTTTAGCCCAGGCAAGACGCTTCTGACGCTGTCTGTGGTTCAAGAGTGGCTTGACACAAGGAATGCGACAGCAGAAACCCATGTCTTTCATACGTCTGTGTGTGGTGGTTCTTGAAGCACTCACTCCAGCTGCAGTCCACTCTTTGTGAATCTCCCCCACATTTTTGAATGGGTTTTGTTTCACAATCCTCTCCAGGGTGCGGTTATCTCTCTTGCTTGTACACTTTTTTCGACCACATCTTTTCCTTCCCTTCGCCTCTCTATTAATGTGCTTGGACACTGAGCTCTGTGAACAGCCAGCCTCTTTAGCGATGACCTTTTGTGTCTTGCCCTCCTTGTGCAAGGTGTCGATGGTCGTCTTTTGGACAACTGTCAAGTCAGCAGTCTTCCCCATGATTGTGTAGCCTATAGAACTAGACTGAAAGACCATTTAAAGGCTTTTGCAGGTGGTTTGAGTTAATTAGCTGATTAGAGTGTGGCACCAGGGGCCATCAATTTTGAACCTTTTCACAATATTCTAATTTTCTGATATGATGAATTTGAGATTTTCATTTGTTGTCATTTGTAATCATCAAAATTAAACAAAATAAACATCTGAAATATATGAGTTTGTATGTAATGTATGAATATAATATACAAGTTTCACTTTTTAAATGGAATTACTGAAATCAATCTACTTTTTCATGATATTCTAATTTTATGACCAGCACCTGTATACATGCAATAAAGCTTAGCTTTATAACACAGTGTTCACAAAGGCTATTACCTAAATGCACAAAAGCCAACACATTTACACTAAAGACAGACAGATATACAAGAAGGACAGACTTTTTTGTATTCTGATTAGGTCTGAAGCCATTCATTAGTCACCCATTATTACCTGCTTTCCTGCAATGCTGTGATATTTTACTATAGATGTGTGTGGGTGATTCATAAAAAAAAGACCAGTTAAAATTGTAATTTGTAAATTAGAAAGAGCTCTTACCTTCATAGATTGCTTTGAACCCAGCAGAACCAATCGTGTCATCTGACTGCAGGTGTAGCCACATCTGATTCGACAAGCTCACGATGAGATCAGGGACGCTGGTACCAGTGAGTCTAAAAAGACACAGTAGTCCCAATGATTACATTCATATCATACTCCTTATCATTTTATACTTTTTTCTTTAGCAAAATGTGCACGAGTTTTTAATTTAAACTGTAGAGTTAAACATTTTGAAAATATCTCTCCAGAGCACAAAGTCTCTCCTACGCTTTACCTTGTGTTTTCCTAACTTATTTTATACTTTTACAAGTAACTGATGGATAAGAAATTATCACTGGTGCTTACACATATAGTACCCTCCGAGTGTCACCTATCTTTCCACCGTCTCCCACAGTCAGGGTGTCGTAGCCTCTCTCCAGGTCAAACTCTTCAAATGATAGCTTTATAACCTGAAAAATTAAAACCCAAAATTAAACAAAGGGATGCTCATAAAATAAAATGAAAAAAAAAAGCATTCATTTCTGATCAAATGTGTGTGGAAGTTATATACCTTCTGTGGCATATAGCCTTTAAGTACAACCAATAACAACTCCATACCTTAAAAAGTTTTCAAACGGACTCATCATGAAAGAAAATGTATAATGGTACTTAAAGCTGAACAATTAAACAAAAAACAATCATGTAGACTACAGAATCATGAAGTCCTAAGTTTCACCTTTCATGGCAACCTGAATAAACAACTAACATTCAGTCCTGTTGAGGCTGTTTGTTTTCTTAGTTCCCAATTTTTCCTCTTCGAGAAGATTCCCAAAAATAGTTTTGCTTCCTATCCAAGCTTTTTCAAGCTTTGAAAAAGCTTCCTAGGTCGGAAGCGAAACATCAATCTTTTGGAATGACTGAGAATCTTCACCAGCACCTTCCAGAAGACCTCAAATAACTATTCCCCTTTTAACCATGCATTCTATAGAAAAAAAAAAAGAAAAAAGAAATCTGATTATTTCATTAAATCTTATGTTCAGTGTAAAGCTTGGTACAGCAGTATGAATTTAAACTTTCCCCATTTTCTTTGATGGACTCTTGGCTGGTCCCCATAATTCCTTTTTAAACGTCAATCTTTATACTAAAATATTTTTGCTGTCATGATTTGTTGACCTTAAGATCTAAAGAGACGCTCCACCTCCTGGCCCTATAATTAAGTGAAAGGGTGGACTCCGGGAAAAAAAAAATATGCACACCCAGGAGAAGAAGGGGTCACTCCAGTGGCTGGAAGTAGGAGGAGATTTTGCTGGGAATTGTAGGGAAGTGGGCTGCCATTCGGCTGGCGTTTGACTGGGAAGGGCCATTTTGAATGGCTGCTACTGTAGTAGAAACATTTAAAAAATTTGTTACTTAACTTTTATAACAATAGAAATAACAAAAATATAGAAAAAAAATGAAAATACATTTTCTTTTCAGAAAAGTGGAGGACTTCATCAATAGCCAGGTTTTGACTTACTAAAGGAATTAAGAACAATCTGTCTTTTGAAAAGTTGCAATAGCAGGACAAAGTTGAATGATAGATTTAATGTAAAGAAATCCAACTGCAGAGGAGTGGATTTAGTGTGAGGTTATAAGTCTAGGGGTTAATGTATGAATCTGAGTATGGTTACGACTCAACCTCACATTACAATGAACTTTGAGCTATTTCTTTAAATTATGGGTGATTGTAGAAATGAGTATGAAAACCACGTTAAAGAAGTGCTTCAAGGAGGGGCCATTGTCATCTCTGCTTTTTGTCGATAACATTGTTCTGTTGGCTCCCCCTAAAGCAGGCTTCACACATACCACTTCACGTCAGTTCGGTTAACAACTGCAAGACATAGCTCTGCAGCAATCATTGCCTACTTATATGACATTAGAAGTGCATTGCCTTTCATTTTGAAATTAAGCGGATTCCCTGTGTCTGACTTGTTTTATGGTTCATCTGATTTTTATAAAACTGATGCTATTTGCCAAGTCATTGGTTGAAAATAGACTTAATCCGTATATCTGATGAACAATGGAGGGGAAAGTCTATCATGCTGCTGCACAACCCAGTCCCATTTGCCAGAGACGACTTTTGCCCCTTTACCATCTGTTTTTGCTATGACGACATCTGTAGCTTTTCTATATCAGGGGTGCTTAACCCTGGTTTTTAGACCCACTGTCCTGCATATTTAAAGTGTTTACCTGAATTAAAATCAGAGACCCATCGAAAGCATGCAGGGTTGTGTGACTCAAGCTTGGTTAATGTTTGACACATCCACGAGGTACAGGTTGAGCTGAATTCATGCACTGCCCTCCTCTGACTGAGTATAGAGGAGAGTGTCTCCTAACTTGGAGACAGGAGAAGATAATTAAGGGATTAGTTGGGAGATGTTCACTCAATGAGCAGCAGTGAGCTCTATGAGGGTGCCTGGGTGAATGCATTGCAGGAAAGTTTGTTCCAAAGAGAAGGAGCCGGTGAGCCACAAATTATTTGAATATTTAGATTGAAATGTTAAAATATTGAGAAAAGTAAAAAAAAAAAAAGAGGAATTATTTGAAATGTATTTGAGAAAGTAAATTAATAATAAAATGTTAAAATGTATCACTGAATAATGCTTTGAATACGTTTGATTTTGGGTTTAAATCTTATATTTTGTTTCAGGAACAATTTTGTTATTTAAAGGATGTTAATCATTGTTTCTCTGTGTTTGTTTAAAGGTTTTTCACCTACTGCTACTACTATTGTTGATTGAACTTTCAAATAAAAGAGAAAAAAGGAAAGAATCAACTTGGGTGTTCTGAGTGAAATCCTGTGAAATCTCTGAAAGCAAGCTGCATTTAAGTGGGGGAAACCTGCAGTTTAAATACCAAACAAAAAAGTGTGAACCACTTGAAGACGACTTTTGCCCCTTTACCATCTGTTTTTGCTATGACGTCATCCGTAGCTTTTCTATATCAGGGGTGCTTAACCCTGGTTTTTCAGACCCACTGTCCTGTATATTTAAGGTGTTTACCTGTATTAAAATCAGAGACCCATCGAAAGCATGCAGGGTTATGTGACTCAAGCTTGGTTTATGTTTGACACATCCACGAGGTACACGTGTTCAAAGAATGTATATTTTGGTTTCCACGCCTCTACACTCAGCGTCTGTGCTGAATTTCCACTCTGTGCACCTTGAAAATTTGGAACTATGCTGAGATATCTGTGCCAAAAAAAAAAAAAAAAAAAAAAACATTGCAAACCGCATGCAACAGCTTCTACTGGGGAAGGTTTAAAAAACCTTCAAGACCTTCAAGATTTTTAGGCTTTTTAAATTATTTTATTTTCTAACTTTGTTTCTCTGCAGGATGCAGTCCTGTTGTAATTTTTGTAAGAAAAAGCTTTGTAAAATGTGTTTTTTGTTGTGAATATCAACGTCAGCCGAGCCTCTCCATGACATCATCACAAAGTACTGCAGATATCGTGCTCCATATCTATATTTGGGGAAAATCCACAGTAAATATTTGCCAGGGTTCAGAACAGCACTGTAAGAAAACATGTAAAACCAGTTAATCTATACTGCAAACAATGGGGCATAAAATAAAATTAGTACAGAAATATATTTCAGGAACTAGAATGGTAATACAAAAAAGTAGTAGAAAAACTTCTGTATAAACCAGTCACCACAGTACTACCTGTTCTGTGTGAAAGTCTCAGAGGTGCAAATAGATGTGTACCTCATGCCCTAAATGTGGAAAAGCAGAAGTGCAAAAACCTCATCAAGAAGCAGTCTGTCGCTACCGCCCTTTGGGAAAACCTTTAAAGGTGAAAACAGGTTAGTAGCCATCTTAGGGGCCCGGGTTACTAACCTGTTCACACCTTTAAAGGTGTGAACAGGTTAGTAATCTTGGCCCCTAAGATGGCTTTTCAAACATTTTAGTGCAAAACATCACTAGAGAAAACTGGCTGCCCTTCCAAAACAGTCCTACTAGCCTTTGTGAAATCTAGCAAAGCAACTGCTTTTTGCAATTGAGTTTGTTTCTCTGACTATATGGAAAAAAGTAAGCAGAATGCGAAATTACCGTCGTGCCAAGGTAGTTATCCCTACGAAAATTTGTATCCCCTCGTCAGGAGGTTATTACAAGGTTTACAACAGTTTTCAATGGGATGAGAACATTTGGACACTGTGAAACAATGATAGAGTTTTTTTAAGGAACGTATGGAAAAGAACAAGGATCTGTTTGCTTTCAAGGAAGGAGTAGACACTGCTGTCAGCGACCAGCTTTCAAGCAAACCTTTGTGTTTTATTATTAGTTTTAAATCAATATCACTGGCGATATTCTGCTATAACATGTGAAGTAAAGAATAAAACAGTAAAGCTCAACTTTCATACACGTAAAACCTTTCAAATTTCAAGTTCTGCACATTGGAATTGAAGCGGAGTTAACTCGGGTTGTTCTTCCTACTCCTTGCGTGCTCCCGAAGAGGGGATACAAATTTTCGCAGGGATAACTACCTTGGCACGACACCGGGACTGGCAGCCTCTCACACAACATGATCGTGTCATTTCTGGTAAATAATTATGCCGAAAGAACAGCCGCGTGTGGCTTATCTCGACTTTCCACCTAATATGGTGGTTTTCCCACGATGCACCGCACCCGAGGTAAACAATTGACGTCACTTGGCGGAGACCGATTGCAGAGGAACACATTGCATTTAGTCACCCTGCACACCAGTCAATTTACATGTAAACTATTTAAAAAACAAATCAGATGTACCATAAATTAGTCAGGTTTACTACTAGTAAACCATTGAGATTACTAGTTTGAATGAAAAATCACCAGCCAGACAACCAATATGTCAGTAAAATTAAAAGTAAACCACACAGATTACCAGTCAGACTACCAGAATGTGATCAAATACTATTTAAATTAACAACTACCTATGTAAACACTTATTATATTTCTTGGTTTATCCAACCTCATGACCAAATCAGTAATAAAATATAGAGGACATTGAAACTACACTTACAAAATGTTCCTGTTTCTACAATTGCAAAAAAAAAAAAAATAATAAACAAATAAATCAGATGCCTTATAAAACTGAAGATGTCACTAGACATAAATGAACTAGTTTCAAGCATGAAATATAAACTTTATCTTTACATGGGTCTTTTTCTGAGTTGTTAAAGCTTTTTTACTTTAGTCCCCATCTTGTTTTGACTTAAAAAGGGTAATTGGACGAGAATGGGCAGCATAGATGAACTTTATGTATGTGAGGACCTAAATTAGCCTCAAAGCTCCAAAACTCCCATCAGAGTTCTGAAGAGCTCTTTTTGTGGATAGGAGATGGAGAAGAGTTGGACAGAAAAACAACAGCTTTGAACTCTTGATTGTCTTACAATCCTGCTTATAAGTGACTGGAAGAACAACACAGCTATGTTGAATTCAGTCAGTTAGTTCT